GCCATCGTGGCCAGCAGCGGCGAGCACGCTGCCGTGCAGTGCCGTCGAGCCGTCCCTTCCGCTGTCGTCGGCACGGAAGTCGAAAATCATTCGCTAACCTATCCTGATAGATGCGTCTCGATGAGAGGAGTCCGTTGGTGATAGTCCCATCGCCGGAAAGTTCGCCGCCGGCGAGCTATCGCCGGTCAAAGCGCCGCCCCTGCCTCTGTACCTGTGACGTGTGGGGTCAGGTTGACCATAGGCCCCAGCCGTCAGCCCCTCGGGGTGCACTGAGCTATGTGCGCGTAGCAGTTTCTAGGGTTTAGTTGTTTTTCGTTTTAATCTTTTCCAGATTATGTGATGATCTTGTAAAATTCATATCTAGAGCCTGAATGATCCGATTTGAGTGAAACCAGTTTTGTTAGCTTCGTTATGAAATGCTCTATCTGATAGAAGTATAAAGTTTGCTTTTTGGTGACTTTTTATATGCAAAGTGCCATTTAAAACTTGTAAAATGTGAAATTAGAGTTGGGAGTGTGCTAAAAATGTGATTCCAATTTTGCTAGTCTTGTTTTATCATATGCTTGCAAAAAAGAATATTAAACCAGCAGTTTACATGCTTTTACTGTGGTGTTATGAATTAACCTTGTTTAATGCTTGTTTAAGTTGATGAAAGCCTGATCTGCTTGTGATTTTTGTAGAGGCTGTTTTACTTGCTCGAAAATTATAAAATTCCTGCAGTGGTCTATTGAATGCACTCTTAAGCTACTGTAATTTTTACAGAATTTACTGTGCACTAGAAATAGCAGTTCTCTATTTCACCTTGCCACCTAAGGAAATCAATAAAGGCATGTAAATAATTTGTTTGGGCTTAACCATTATACTTTCTAGCATGTTTGCGATGTATATAATATGTTGGTATAGTTGGCAAGTATCTAGCTTTTCTGAAATTGTTTGCCGCATGAGAGCTTGATGCTTGTTAAATGCTTGCTTACTCTAATTAGGATAAGTTGTTAGCTACAAGTTTTAGATTTTCTTTAGGTGGTGAAAATGTGTATATGAGCTACTGTAATTTCTGTGAGCATGCATGATTCCATTTTGATGTAGTTTCTCTTTTTGCTTGCTATTCAAGTGTTTGCTAGTGTAACTCTTAGTTTTATGTGAGAAGCTTAATATGTATGCATGATCCTTTTGTTCATCTTTTACTTATGACTAAGATAAAATGTTGCTGAGCTAGGGTAGTGATGATTGAAGCTATTAGAATAACTTATGTGTGTGCTATCTTGTTTAACTAAACAAGTGGTGAACCTTTTATTTATGTGCTGAAAATGGTTGCATGTGTAGTCTCTGTTGTCGTGGTGTTTTCATGGTGAAAATGAGGTTTGTTGTAAATATTGATAATAACAAAGTTGTAGATAACTTGTTCATCTGTCTTGTCCTAAAATTTCATGATTTTAGGCCAGCAGGTTTGGGAGTTTTAGATTTTATAAATTCTCAATTAGGTTTTGGTTGCGTTCTGTGCAGTTCTGAAACATGGCATTATTTGACCTTGTTAACTATTGAATCTTCTTAAGATGATAATAATAAAGTTTTAGACAATTTCATAAGCTTTCCAGAAAGTTAAAGAACATGTGTTGTTGGATGCTTAAAACTCCAGCTATAGTTAAAACAAGTGACTGTTGTATTGTAGTTCAGAAAATGCTTAATCTAAGCTTACTTTTATGCACTAGGGCTTCATGTGACATCTTTGTTTTACATCATATCATCCTTTTATTGCATCTCCTGTTCATTCTTTATATATATATATATATATATATATATATATATATATACATGTATTCATGCATATAGGATCGTCGAAAGGAGTGACGCTGATGAAGATCGAGACCGTGGGAGAGGAGGTTCCACCGGAGGTCCAGGAGGGTCCAGGAGCTGCCAGAGTGTCTGGAGCACGTTCCCGCTAGCTTTCTCAAATTCAAGCCCCGGAGCATATTAAGCCTCCCATGATTTATTAAAAATATCTTGAGTCCTTTATGTTTGATGCATTAAGTTATAGGAGTTGTTTGGAACTGTTCATGCATATATCTTTTCCTTATCCAGAAATATATCTTATTACCTCTTTTAGGTCCATGATCAAAGTATATGCTTAGTCATGCTTAGACCGATAGAAGTCGGGTGATTTTCTATCACCTGCGAGCTATAGGTGGATACTTGGTCACGGTTGGCTATATTTGCTATCGTGGAAAATAACCATGTGGTGTTATATAAATGGAGACCGGACAGGATTTTATATGCAAATGGTGTTAGGTTTGGCTATGTTGATCCCGTCTGTATCGGTTAAGGACCATACCGTTGTTGGACCTTGTTCGAGATTGAACGTCGCCTTTCACTTAGCTGGCCAGATAAGTCGTTCCGACCGCGAAGCCGAGCAACTCAATTTGGACTGAAAATTTGAGATGTATGGCGCGCACACTGGAGGAAGTAAGGCGTGCGACGGGACAATGATTGACTGTGGACAGGCTTGGCCTGAGCTACCTGGCATCCGACTGTCCCCCGAGTGTGCGGCTCAGCTCAAACCCACGGTATCCCAAATTGTAACAAAAGTGACCTAAAGCTACCGTGGCTGGTGGGTCTAGGTTTGTGTTATGAATTTTTGTCCAGCTGGTTGCAACCAATTCGAATCGCCGTCTCTCCCGGATAGTGAGAAACTTGAATGAGCTTCCAACATTTGTAGTAATATAACCGATTCGAATCGCCGTCTCTCCCGGATAGTGAGAAACTTGAATAAGCTTCCAACATTCGTAGTAATATAATGGAATACGATGGTTATGTGGTTTCCCAATTAATTTGATATGGTTACTAATGTGATGATGATGTCCTAAATAAATTGTTTGCCACAGAATAGTTGCAAATGTATAAATAAATACCTCTCTTTAACTTGATGCTAAAATAATTAAATTGGAGGATTTAATTTAGTAAGCTTTTATGCAAAATGTTGTCAAGCTAGCCCCACTATGAAAAGCTTGCATACTCCTTGGTGTCAATTTATTTTTGGTTTATGACGGGTAAGTCTAGCTGAGTATATTCTCGTACTCAAAGTTTATTCCCCATTGTTGCAGATGGTGTAATGTACAATGATTACTGCAAGAACTGCTTCTCTCCAGCTGTGGACGAGGAGTGAGGCCGCGGGCAAGGCCTTCTTTGGTAACTTATCTATGTTGCTTTTGTTGGACTTGATCATTAAACTGGCATGTATTTGAACTAAGTGTGTGTATGCTGTTTCAAAACTATGTCGCTTCCGCTACTAAATTTGAACCTTGTGTTGTAATAATTATATTTGAACTTTGATGTATGTCGACTATTTGTGAACTTTATGTAACATGTGATGTGTATATGCTGAATCATGTACGATCTTGGTTGTATGCGTCTCGTATTTCGAGGCCTTTCGTGGTACTCGACGGACTACCGGATTTATATGTGCTCAAGTATGAGAGTGTGACTGTCTCGGTAGTTTTCATTGCACGTTTGCACTTGTGCTCTTATAAATTGCACGGTTATGTGACTTGTTCAAATTCCGCGCCGGCGCCGCCATGGACACATGCTATCTGTTTGCTTACTTAGTGGTGGTGAACTAAGGCTTGTTCAAATTCCACGGGGGAATTGCTTTGGCACAATTCCATGTAAAATTGTTGCGTTCCAAATAGTCACTTGGCCGGACTAGTGGCTTTGATATATATGCATAAATTGTATAATTTTATCACTCATCCTTATTTTTTAACCCTTTCTCCATATCTTAAATAATAGCGCTGTTAAATTATTTATTGGTTATTTCAGTAGCTAACCTGTTTGGCCGCCGTCAAAACACGCCTTGCCGTAGCTTTGGCATGGCTTGGCGACCGAAATAGCCTGGGCTTATGGCGCAGCTGCGGCATGCCAAAAGTGCAGCGCCGACCAAATCCCGCGGCGGCACGCCACGGTTGCGGCGCGGCAAGTTGTGACGCACGGCGGCGTGAAACAAACAGGCCCTTATTTCGTTTAGTCTAGAACCTGGAGGTTGACAACTTTTTATAGTCCTTTCAAATAAAAAATTGATTTGATATAGCCCATTTAAAAATAAAACTGATTGTAGCGTTGGTAAGTTGTTTTTAACCGGCGACAAAAAAAAAAGGGAATTGATTCAAGGAACTCTTGGAGACGCTCTTAGCGTCAGCTCTCTACGTTTCTTACGTGCAAGGCAAATGTGCTGCAATTCACATGGAATGGCAAGCGAAATCCCGAGTCGAACGTAAGGCTGGAACCTGGGACGAAATTTCCTGCGGATCACGTCCCGAAGACCTATGCAGAATGCAGCCTCAACGGTTCATACTTGCCACGTTGAATCGTTCAACTAAACTTGTCTTAGGCAGCAAGAACAAATATCCAGCACAGATGCTTCCTGTGCACAGCACACCGGGAAGGCTGACGTATTGGGCCCAGGAGCCGTCCAATAAATATCTTGGACTCTTGGTGCAATCACAAGATGTCGAGAAACCAACGCCACCAGGCTCTTAATAATCAACTCTAGTTCTTGTGTTCATACAAGCACTTCCAATCACTGCCCTTATCCATTTTCTTATGTAGTCAAGCCCCTCGTTCCAAAGTCTACTGCGAAAATGAAAGGGAAGAAGCCAGACCTGTCCAAGCAACCAGTCTTTGAGATCCAGCAGAAGCCAGCCCTTTGTGCTATTTCGCAGAAACAAACTGCCGGACGCAGCAAACACCCTGTCTTGAGACAGGCAGGAGCAAGGAGAGCATGCCTGCAATGCCCTGCACTTCGGTTGGCATGCATGGGGTCCCCTCATGATGGGGAGACTGCTCCCAATTCCAAGAACCTCATGGACTCCTCCCTCTCCTGCCACCATCCTCCCTTCATTCCCCTTATATAAACAAACACCTACCTTCTCCATAACCCACCACGAACCACAAGTCCAAAACCCCGCGCATAAATCTTGCCAACCATTGCGAGGTCTTCAGTCTTTGCCATGATCTCGCGGGATAACTCCGGCATGGACTCAGACAAGGGCGCCTCCGTGCAGTTCCAGGACTTCCTGCCATTGATGGCGAGGAAGCTCGGCGTGGAGGGCCTGATCCAGGAGCTCTGCAAGGGGTTCCAGCTGCTCATGGAGCCCAGGGCAGGAAAGATCACCTTCCGGAGCCTGAAGCAGAACGTGACCAGGCTCGGGCTTGGCCAGCTCCGGGACGATGAGCTCCTGGAGATGATGAAGGAAGGCGACCTGGACGGGGACGGGGCGCTGGATCAGATGGAGTTCTGCATCCTCATGGTCAGACTGAGCCCTGAGCTGATGGAAGAAGAGGCACACAGGATGTTTCAGCATTGATGTAGTTTGATCCTTGTTACTTGGTACAACAGAATATAGTGATATTTTGTCATTTTGCTAGTTCAACTCCAATGTGGTATTGCATTCAGAAATATTAATATGCACAGGCTGACATTGCTCAGATTATGATATTAACACAAGCTGAAAATTGGACTACAAAGTGCAACGAGCATTCACTTTGCAGTTTCTACATGTAAGACCACTTCATCTCTAGGGCATATCAAAAAAAGATGTGCCTGATGAATAATACTGTGTCCTGTTACCAGCGAGGGGAAGTTATTTATTCCAAACTGTGTGCAAATACATAGAACAAAAAAAAAAGTTTTGTGATAAACCATATTACACGAGTGTCTCATTCCCTCAAGTGCACTACTCTCCATCCAACCTAGCTGTGTGGCATTTCCTGTACTTTATGAAAGTTCTACTGGAGTACCACAGAGCTCACCAATCTCCCTCTCCAGAAGCTGCACAACGTTCACTCCAGTCCTCTTGTATATCCAACCATTGGTTGTTGCATCCCAATCAAACCTAGAAGGCCCACTGCATTCATATCCAGATAGCATCTTTATATAAGATAAAAATGACATACAAGTTCAGCAAAGCGCTTTTGGGTATTATACAAAATACCCAAGCGTGGGTCTGTTTGATTGGAAATAAAAGTATTAATAAGTTTCGCAGCAACATCATAAGACAAATAACCATATCGAATAAACTGAACAACATATCACAAAGGGTGGCCATAAACAATATTCGAAAAATGACATGTACTCAGTACTCCTAAGTCCTTACACAGGGACAGGTTCTGTCAAGGTCGTCGAACCCTCGACGCGCCGGGCCTCGGCTACGCAACTCGTAGCCGTCGGCCGTCTTCTCCGGTGAGGTTATACCCCTCTACCGCAGGCTTGTAGATGAGATAGGAAGAGATAATATTCTTGCTTAATTTCTCAAGTGCCACTTACAAATATTTATAGCCTATGCGGCTGCTATCAAAGGGAAACAAACCTCCTAATTTTAGGTAACAAAAAGATGCTAATATCAAGGAGAATAACTTGATTACTTTCTAAATCTGAGCTCCTCTAGCCACGCAGTGGCTGCTGGGCCTCCGTGGGCGCGGCTTGCGCCTGGCGAGCAGCGCGTTCGGCCGCCCTGCGTACGTCGCGGGCGCGCCTGCGCCTGGAGTACACGCGTCCGCACATGACATCTCTCCCCGCCTCGAAGGCCAGCTCGTCCTCGAGCTGAAAGGAAGGAAACCGAGCACGGAAATCGTCCCAATCTTCCCAGGAAGCGGAGGCGGGGTCTTGACCTTCCCATTCGACGAGGACCTGGCGGACACCGCGAGCCAGGCGGCCCTGGGACACCCGCGAAGGCGTTGGCACGACAGCACCGTTGCAGAGGGTCGGCAGCGCCGGTGGAGCAGCCGGCGGAGTTCCCACAAACTTCTTGAGGACGCCCACGTGGACGCCGCCCGATCCTCCATCTCCTGGGCGACCGCAGCGACACGGGCTTCGCCCTGCTCATAGGACCGGATGGTTGGCGGGTCCCTGCCATAAACCACACGAAAGGGAGTGTCGCGCAGGGAGGACTGGAAGGCGGTGTTGTAGGTGTACTCCGCCCATGGTAGCCACCGGATCCACTGCCGGGGGCGATCGCCGGTGAAGCATCTCAAGTACATGACGATGACCCGGTTGGCGGCCTCCGTTTGGCCGTCCGTTTGCGGGTGGAAGGCGGAGGACATGTAGAGCTTCGTCCCCGTGAGCCTCATGAGCTCCTGCCAGAACGCCGAGGTGAACACCGGGTCGCGGTCCGATGTAATGGACTGCGGAACGCCATGGAGGCGGACGATGTCGGCGAAGAAGGCGTTGGCGACGGACTCGGCGGTGTAGGGATGCGCCAAGGGAATAAAATGGCAGTACTTGCTGAAGCGATCAACCACGGAGAGAATCACCGTCTTGCCCTGGACCTTGGGGAGCGCCTCAATGAAGTCGATGCCGAGGTCACCCGCATCATGGACGCACGCACCGGAGGGGATCGCAGAGGCCCGGCCGGCTGCAGATGATCGGCCTTGTACTGCTGGCAGGTGACGCAAGCCTTCACAAAGTCCTGCACCAAAGCACGCATGTTGGGAAAATGAAAGTCGCCGAGCCTATGGAGGGTGCGGTGGATTCCCTCGTGGCCGTCGGCGTGGACAAAGACCACGATCTCTCGCATGGCGCGGTGAGGCCGGTGGGATGTACAGCACCACAGTGAAGGCGACCAATCCGTCCACCGGCCCACGGCGCGATCACGCGGCACCGGAGCGAGCTTTCGTCGTGTAGGCGACCAGGCCGGGTCCGTGGCTTCGGGCGTGGCGGGCCGCTCGATGAAGTCAAACGGGCGCCGAGATGGCGGCGGCGCCCTGCGAAGATCTCGGTCGCGGCGCGACAAGGCGTCGGCGACGACGTTCGTGGCGCCCGACCGTATTCCACCGAAAATCGGGTCGAGGAGCTTGCCGACCCAATGATGTTCGCGGAATCGTGGCGGGCGCCGTCGAGAAGGTACTTGAGGCTATAATGATCGGTCTTGACGACGGCGCCGCCCCACAGTGTGTCGCCGCCGGTCTTGACCGCTTGACCAGCCCGATCACCAAGCGTTCATACGCTGGCGAAGCGAAGAGTGGCGGTGCGCCACCGGCTTCTTGCCAAGAACGCGACGGGTGGCCTCCTCTGGCGAAAGCACGGCGCCAAAGCTCGACGTGGGCGCGCCGCGACTCGACGATGAACGGCTTAGGCGAAGTCGGGCATGGCGAGCACCGGGGCGTCGTCACGGCGGTCTTGAGTGCCGCGAAAGCCGTGGTTGCAGAGTCGTCCCACGAGAAGCCCTCTTTCTTGAGCAAGCCCGTCGCTGGCGCGGCGATCGTCCCAGATTTCTGGGACGAACTTGCGGTAGTAACCCGCGAGACCGAGGAAGCCTCGAACCGCCCGAGGGGAGCGAGGTGTGGGCCAGTCGACGATCGCCTGGACCTTGGCGGGGTCCATGGCCACCCCGGCGGAGGAGATGATGTGGCCGAGGTAGGCGACGGAGGGCGCCCCAAAAGAGCACTTGGACCGCTTGATGTAGAGTCAGTGGCGGCGTATCGTGTCGAGGACGGTCCGGAGGTGGCGTGGTGGTCCGCCCATGACGAACAGAGATCAAAATGTCATCAAAAAATACCAAGACGAAGCGGCGGAGGAACGGCCGGAGCACGTCATTCATCAGTGCTTGAAACGTTGCAGGGGCGTTGCATAGACCGAACGCCATCACCAGGAACTCGTACAAGCCATCATGGGTGCGGAAGGCCGTCTTGTGGACGTCCTCCGGACGCATGCGCACTTGGTGATAGCCCGAGCGCAGGTCCAGCTTGGTAAAGAACTGGGCGCCATGGAGCTCGTCGAGGAGCTCATCGACCACCGGGATCGGGAAGGCGTCCTTGACCGTTAGCGCGTTCAGCGCCCGGTAGTCGACGCAGAAACGCCACGAGCCGTCCGGCTTCTTGACGAGGAGGACGGGTGACGAGAACGGCGAGTCACTTCGACGGACGATGCCTTGCTCCATCATGGCGGCGCACTGTCGCTCCAATTCATCCTTGTGCGCCGCCGGGTACCGGTAGGGGCGCACGGCGACCGGATGGGCGTCGGGCTTGAGCGTGATGCGGTGGTCGTGCGCGCGCGTCTGGGCGAGCTGTTTGGTCGGCGAAGACCCCGTCTGCTGGGCGCCTCGAGGAGTGAGTCGGTGTCGAAAGCGTCGCGCGAGAGCCGGAGTCGATGGCGGGCGACGCCGGTCCAGTGATGGTGCGCTTTCATGCGCTACCGGAAGGACATCTTGCCGGTGGCACAAGTCCCGCACGATGGCCCCGAAAAGCCCAGCCAATGGTGCCGAGGACGATGTCGTACCCGCCAACGGCATGACGAAGAGGTCGGCCGAACGCTCTCACCATCGACGGCAAAAGCGCCCAGCGCGGAGGACGCCGCAAGACGTGTGGCGCGCTTCCCCATGGCCACCAACGCAGCGAGGCGGGTCGCCGGTGGAGGGAAGTCCAGAGCGTCGCGCCGCGTCCTCCGATATGTAGTTATGCGTGCTGCCGGAGTCGAGGAGAGCCACGAGCGCTTGGGGGCCCAGGGTCACCCCGATTTGCATGGTGCCTGCCATCGGCACCCCGGCCAACGCCTGGAGGGAGAAACAGGGCGCCCCTGCGTCGTCCACGGCCGCCCCGTCGGCGTCTTGCCTTCGATTCGACCCTTCGACGAAGAATATACGCTGCAAGCGGTTATGGCCACGGTGTACCGCTCGTTGCGATTAAAGCACGCACCAGCGACGGCGTTCGCCATCTCATCTGGCGTGAGGCGGCGCTGGCGCCTCGGTCCGCCCCCATTGCTGCGGCCGCCCGCCGGTGCCGAAAGTGCAGATGGGCGGCGGCGGGGGCAGCGAGGCGGCGCACGGGCCGCGGTAGGTGGAGGTCCGCGCAAGCTGGCGGAGAGAGGAGGTGGTGCAGTCGTTCCAGCTCCATCAATTCAACTGGCGGGCTGTGCTCATGGCGGCGGCGAGGGAGTTCGGTGGTGGATGCGACGGGCATTGCCGAAGCGGAGGCCCGAGGCCGCCGGTGAAGAGCTGACTCAGCTGCGCCTCGTCGAGCCGGCCGGCGCGAGGTAGGAGGGCCTGGAACCGGTTGGCGTACTCTTCCACGGCGCCGTCGCGACGGCACTGCGCCAACTCAAACAAGGGGGCGGATCGCAGGGGAGGTCCGAACCGCAGATTCAGGAGGTCCTTGAAATTCCCCCACGACGGCGATCCCTCGTCATCCTGCAGCTGGATGAACCACAGCTGCGCGGCGTCGTCCAGGTGGTAGGACGCCATGCGCACTCGCTCTTCCGTCATGGTGCGATGTTGCCGGAAGTACGCCTCACACTTGTTGAGAAACAACATGGGGTCGGACGTGCCATCGTAGTGGGGAAAATCCCACTTCTTGTGCTTCGGGTGGAACTCGAGTTCGCGCGGGCTGTCGTGACGGCTGTCGCTGCTCTCAGTCGTGGACGTCTTCGCCTTGATGGAGGCGACGCCGGCCTTCGAGGTGGAGAGAGCTCATGGACACGGCCATCATCTCCTTGAGGAGGTCGGCGATGGTCGGCTCGACCATGGGTGGTGGTCGCGATCGGGCGCGGTGGGTGGGCGTTAAATGGGTGGCGGCGGTGGTGGCTGCGATGGGAGCCGGGCCTGGCCGATTGGGAGCGCGAGAAGATGAGCGGTGACTACCGATACCAGTCATCAAGGTCGTCCGAACCCTCGACGCAACCGGCCTCGGCCACGCAAACTCGTGGCCGCCGGCCGCCTTCTCCGGTGAGGTTATACCCCTCCGCAGCTTGTAGATGAGATAGGAAGAGATAATATTCTTGCTTAATTTCTCAAGTGCCACTTACAAATATTTATAGCCTATCTGGTCGCTATCAAAGGAAACAAACCTCCTAATTTTAGGTAACAAAAAGATGCTAATATCAAGGAGAATAACTTGATTACTTTCTAAATCTGAGCTCTCCTCTAGCCACGCAGCGCAGGCTCTTTGAAACCTCAAGTGGCCGTGCTGCTTGCGCGGCGAGCAAATAAGCGTTCGTCACTCTACAGTGCGTCATGCAAGCGCCAAGGCTACTGGAGTACACGCGTCCGCACATGACAGGTTCACGATACTAGTAAAATTAATTATTAGTGTAATACAATATGCATCAACCTTGAGAAAGGATGATAATACAACATGGCAGACAAGACGATGGCAATCAAATTCAGGTGTCTATTACATATAATGAAACAAACAACAACTGAGGTACTAAGATAGCATTTACTGTACCTCACAGGTGAAGATAGCCAGATTTGTTTGTTTGGCGTTTGCTTGTTTATAACATATGTCCCCAGATCCCCAAGCCTCAATGTCAAAACCTGATTCTAAAATGTCCAAGAAAAGAAGGATGCATCAATAATCAAATACATGAAAAAGAAAACACATACTAGAAAGGATTGCATGATTCTCCATCGTGTGTTGCAACTAACCCCATACTCTATGTCGAAACCATCCATCTGAATGGAGTCACCATACTCCTAAAAAAGACATGAAGAATAGTATTAGTCAGAGGTATGCTGACTAAACATGTTGTTTGAGATATCTGAAGGCCATAACAAAGAGGATTCACTACCTCAAGTTTTTCAAGCAAATCATGAATCGTCTCATCTGCTAATTTGTGAAACTCGTCCTCTTGCATTGCCAACCTGTTCAATGTACGCAATCATAATCACCAACTATCCCATGCGGCAAAAAAAAATATAATAACAAAAGTTCAAATAACCAAACTATAAAGTAAAAACAGTTAAACATACTGAAGATTACATTGTTGCAATCAACTAATAAAAGGAACTAGCCCAACTTTCTACATTTCAGTTTGTTGATTCAAGCAACTGTAGTCTCCTCTAATGACCTATTATCCATTGTCACTATTTGGCAAAATAGAGAATGTTCAGAGTACCTAATTTAGGGTTACCTGATTGACACAGGTGGAGAGGACAAATATAACAACAAAGATTCTTAGTCCCAAGCAAGTTGGGATTTGTAGAGAATGTCAAATGACTCAAATCTCAACAAAAATTGCTCTATCAAACATCCTACACGTATGCTCTGTTTAATTTCTCCATTGCTCTCATTCATACTTGTAAGCAATCCAAATTACACAAGAATGCATTAATGGATCAACGTGCTAAGACTGCAAGATCGAGAAACAAACTTGTGATCCACTGCAGATGGGCCGGAGCCAGACACATCTCCTGCGGACTGTGTAACGGGCTGAGTCGACGAGACGGTCCTTGAAGAGAAGAGAAGAGCGGATGGAGACCTGCCGGATAGCTGCGCCGTTGCAGCAGCCACCACGAGGGACCGAGAGGTGGTAGCTTCAGGGAGACTGGTGGCCCAGAATAGTTGCTGAGTGCGGGATTGTAGTCGCCTCCCGGTTGTGAGGCCCATGAGAAGCTTACGCGATGCCATAGCCACCTGTGTGTGTGTATACCTATGCACCAGCCTATGGCACTCAGAGAGGTGGCGCAACCCTGCTCCCGTGCTGTGTCCACAAGGCCGCAATCAGGTCACGTGGCAAGATGGCAGCTTGAGGTCCAGTGGAAGTCACCGCCTAGATCAGAAGAAATAACAACACAAGAAAGTTCAACACGAAATTAGAGGAACCATTAGAAAATTACAATTGAATGCAAGAAAGTACTGTGGTTTACATTACAAGGCAGAAGGAACTAAACTGAACATGTTCATTATAGTGATTCATTCTTATAATATAAGGCCTGCCAAGCCTGTAACTGAGCAATAACATGTCAAATTGCTTTTTTTTTAAATAAAAAAGTTAACCATGTCACAAGGGAAACCTACTAATTGGCCAACACAATTGACAAGGAAGACTTGCCACTTAGGCACGCGTGTTCATGTCAGATCAAATGGAAGCAATCATATGCAAGGCAAATGCAAACTAGCTAGCACCTTCATTAGAGAAAGAGAAGCTAACATAAGTAGCCTCTGCTAAAAATAGGAGCACCAGTCTAGAGCTCAGAAGCTTCAGGTCAAACACATATTTATCTCAAATTAGTTCCTCAATTTGTCTCTTATAATCCGTTTTTTCAGCCGGAACAGTGTTTTTCTCTCACAACAAATCAGCTGGAACAGTGTTTTGGCTTGTTTTTTCAGCGCAGCGAACGGGGCTACGCTGAAAAAACAAGCCAAAACACTGTTCCGGCTGATTTGTTGTGAGAGAAAAACACTGTTCCGGCTGAAAAAACAAGCTGAAAAAGACGGATTATAAGAGAAGCGAACAGGGCTACAAGCACAACACAACTTATCTCGAACTATTGTCACAACACAACTCCTAAGACAGCACAACAGATTAATTTTGAACATGAATATGCATCACAACCTGATGTATTAATTAGTCTTAACAAATCGTGGGTTTGCCCTTAGTAAGCAGTTAAGTAACTAGATCTGCAACAAGATTGAACAATAAAGGATGCACATCGTCAATAGTCTCTGGCGTCCCGAGATTCAGCAAGAAAACGCCATTTTTTCAATGCCTTAACAGCATGAAAGTCTCTCTGTCAGGACTGCAATTTGTGGCTACAAACTATTGGTGGATCAGGATGGTAATATGGTATGATATCCCCTTCTCCCAGCGTCAAAGTCCTTAAAAAAAGGATGATAAGCTATGCTGTAACTGCAAATCTATTGCAGCAAGGTGAAAATCTAATGCGCGGTTGGCGGAGCTGGCGAATTTCTCCGCGTAGGTCCACTATTTACGCGTGTAAATCATCCGCAGGTTACATACATACAGATATAGACGACAAACGCACTAGAAATTAAGGACTGGGCAGCAATTTGAAGTTTAAATAAAAGCCAATGCGAAATGGTACTCGATTCCTCAGATGCCAAATACCTGCTGTGCTGCTCCTGCCAGGCGCCCAGACCGCCGGACTCCCGCTGGTCGTTGTTGCCTGTCCGCCTGGGCAACGCCGACCGACAGGAGGCAGCCGCACGACAGCACGAGAACACGGCGCTTTGGTTTGCCGGCGCGGTGGCGCTCGATTTTGCCCGCCTCCCGGGTCGATTCGCCGCGCCGCCGCTCGATTTGCTAGCGCCGGCAACCGCAGAGGCGAACCTGTGAAGGCCTCCAGCACCTTCGCTGGTTGCCTGTCTTGCTTGTGTTTACTGGGCTGCTAGGTCGCTGGCCGGCGGATGAAAGTTTGGGCCGAGAAACTCAGAGGATTTCTTGGGCCACGACAAGGGCCAAGCCCAAACCCGCTTAGAGAGGGCGAAGTTTTCGTACCTTCACCGAATACGAATCGGAATGCTACAACCCACGAAAGCCTTATCACAGTGCAGCTAGACCTAGTGGGATGAGTTCGTTTCTTCGTCAGGTAATGCTTAGGAAAAAAAATAGTAGCAAAATGTCATTACTCATTAGTGCTCTTAGTGCTGTTGTGTGTAACTGTGTATACGTAGAGCTACAGCTAATTATCTGTTTGTCTTCAAAAAAACTATATATCATGCATTTCCTCTATTCTTATGTTGGCAAATGACAACATTCTTTAAGAGAAACTAAGAGTCAATCTATTTTATCTGATTTTTTTCTTGATAAATAACGGTTATGGTTATATCGTTCCAGGAGCATTGTAGGCGAGATTGATTTTGAAATCACACCGGCCAGTGACAGTACAGCGTTTGGGCTCCTGGGCTAAATGAAGCCCTTATTTGGATGGGCTTCTAACTTGGGCTTATCCAGCCCAGTGCAGCATATGCGCCGCCGCTGCGCAACAGGCCGGCTTCCACACAAGAATTATATATATATCTGGAGATGCAATCACAATTCTCAAACTCATCTCACGGTAATCTGAAAGCGACTCTCACAGCATGACTGCACCCAGCCCGAGAATTTCACAAGATTGCGATCTGCCTGGCTAGCTAGCTGCTGCAAACAGCATAATAAACGGATGAACAATAATTCCTGCGATCGATCGAGCTGCTGCATGCGACACTCCAAACTGTTTGCTTACAGTGCCATGTCCTACTGTCCTGTGATGATGAGCGATCGAGCATTAAGAAACAGCAAGTGCATTTATTAGTGTAGAATAAACGAGCGAGCTAGGCGGGCGGCGGCAGCCTGGCCGGATGGATGATCACGCATGGGCGGTGGCCATGGTGGTCCTAAGATCTACTCGATCGGTCGTATCAGTGAATTAGAACTGCAGTTAGTTAGCAGAGAGTATCCCATATAATGCGCCAGCCCCAAAATCTGCGATGCGATCTGGATTCTGGCCAGGGAGCGAATTGAAGCAGCCGGCCGGCCGGCCACCAGCGGGAGCAGTCCGCAGTGCCCGGCCTGGGCCTGCAGCGCATGCACACGCTTCCTTGCATGCTCTCTCACGCACACGCCACTCCGATGGTGCTGAGGCTGAGATGGTTGCCGTCAGCTTTTTCTCTTCGATCTCCCGGCCCGGCCCGGACGAGACCTCCTCTTGCTTGCTCTGCTCGTCGTCGCCGATCTGCTGCACACTGCACCATGGACGGATACGGATCGTCTACTCGCCGTCTGCCGGCCGCCAGTAGCCATTAATTCGCATGCCGCAACTACTCGTAGTTTCTTTTGCTTCGTTCTTGTCGCTACAGTGGCGACGTACCTGACCTGACGACCAGCCCAGCCTGTTGGCGCAATCTGCCATGGCAGCGCCCATCCAGTGCCACCACGGATGGATGACCACGCGAACGCGACCTCTCCAGGTCCAGCCGCGCGCGCCCCGGCTGTGTCTGCTGGCCGGCTCTGGCCGAGGGACACAGGCGGGGTAAGTGGCGGCATTTACTCCTCCGACTCCGATCCGTCTTTCTCCTCCATCCGTCCCTGACTACTGCCTGCGCGCGCGCCGGTCTCGCTCGCTCGTTCGTTCTCTCTGCATGCGGATGCAGATGGAGATGCAGATGCAGTGCCCTCCCTGTGCTGTGCTGTGTTGTGCCCCCTCGAGGAGAGGACGACTTTCCTTCCTTCCTTAGCTAAGCTAGCTGCGGCAGCTACTGGACTGTCACTGTTCCAGTACAACCGGTGCGACTGCTACCACCCTCTTTGCCGAGGGCCCCAGACGTACGCGCATTTACTCCACCTCATCTGCCTCCCCCCTCCCATTACCCCCATACCGTGCGTGCCATCTAAAAACGGTCGGTGGAAAAAATCTTGAGCCGTTTTCTACTTTTACATTTGAAATACGAAAACAAAAGCGAAAGCGGACAAGCCGGACACGAAAACGAACACGAACTTATGGAATATCTAGAATTTCGGAAACGAACCAATTCGAGCGGAATTATGTCGAACACGGTCGGTATGCGAAAATTCAATACGAAATACCGACCCACAGTGCATAGCATTAAACAAGTGCACGACCAAATACATACCAAGTTCACAACTAACAAGTGCATGATCTAGTTCAAGTGCATAGCATTAAACAAGTGCACGACCAAATACATAATAAGAGAGATGAGGCTGGACGCCGTCTATAAGAGAAGGCAGCTAGCCACCAAGAGAAAAACGCAATGCAACAAGGTGGTGAGCAGCATCATAATTGGGCAGTATGACTGTGCGATAACTCGAATTTTGAATTCAGAATATTTCAAATTAAAAGTAGAAAAGTAGAAAACGGTCAAAAAATGTGTAAACCGTTTTCTACTTTTACATTTGAAATACGAAACATCTCAAATGCGAAAACGAAAACGGTAAAGTCGGAAAAGAAAATATAGATTCGATCGGATTAAATATAAAAAACGATACGGTTCGATTCGGGATATTTCCGTTCCGTTTTCATCCTTAGTGCCATCAGCCTACTATGTCGATGCCGGCCGGTGAAGCGCCGTGTACATACGTACGGGCGGCGTGCGTGTTCCGTCGTCGATCGTCTTCTACTGATCCGGCGGCCATGCATGAATTTCGACCCATGCCCATCGAACTATCATCTATCTCCTGTCCATCGCCATCGATCTGTCGGAGCAGTGCATGCTTGCATTCATCCATTCATCATTCATTCAGTACCACTACTAAGCACAGCAACTTACTCGATCCGTTTAATTAGCTACTAGGGTTTAGCGTTCGCATGCGACGATGCAAGTTGCATGGTGTTGGGGACCTGGGAGTGACGTTGACGACGACCTGGGGGTTAGGGCTACCTAGATAGATCTGGGTAGGTGTCTGAAAAGTGCCTCGTGGACATGATCGGGCCGGGGAGACGACACAGCAGAACAGAAGGGAACAGAGCTGTTCCTGCACTAGCTAGCTAGCTCTAGCTATGCCTGGGACGTGCAAGGGAACAGCGCGTCGCTTGTTTAGGCTGTGTTTGTGTTTAGTTGTAGGAAGTTGGAATTTGGGTCTACTGTAGCACGTTCGTTTTTATTTGGTAAATATTGTTCAAATATGGATTAATTAGGCTCAAAACGTTCGTCTCGCAATTTTCCACCAA